ATTTTTCGTATATTGAGAGCCCAACGCTTTTATCACAATAATACTAGTACTTTTCGTTCATTATTGTTTTACGCTTATTTTAAAAATTATTTTTAACTTTTTAGTTCGATGTTCTTTAAAAGCGTGTTTTTTAGTTTTTTTAAACTATATTTATTAACACGCTTATATTAGTTTCACCTGTATGTATGTATGTATGTATGTTTGTAACTCTCCAAACGCCACGCGTTATCGCATATTCCGTCGTCTAGACTAGACTGTCATAACGCATTCACCCCACCCCACCCCACGCTCATCGATACGCCGTCAATACTATTCCTGTATAAATTTATTTTTGGTTATCGTACCCGTACACGCGTGCTTGTCATCAATATTATATATATATATAAACAAATTTTTATTTTGACTGACCAATAACACCCGCGTCTAATGCGTCTTACGTATATACAGAGTGTTCAGTAAGTCAGGAAACGGGTTTCTATTGTTCTCATTGTTTTTAACAATGAGAACAATAGAAATCCGTTTCCTGACTTACTGAACACTCTGTATATTCCTACCGTTAAAAAATTGTTAAAAAAATATTGAATGAAATAATTTGCAGAATGTTTGCATTATCCCCAGAAGCACCTAAAATTGATTGGGCCATATACAAGAATNTTAATGTATTTATAAACATTTAAAATTTTTCATTGGCTAGACAAACTAACAAAAAATACAAATTTAAATATAGATATCGAAAATCTTTAATCGATATTAAAAAAAATCGATATATCGAAACAGTATATCGATAAGTTCGATATATCGTTGCCATCCCAACAGCTGCGTGATAACATAAATAATTTGTAAGAATCTGAATATCATTTGTAAATTGAATAAATTCAAACAAAGTGTGCTTTTGTTATCAATTTTTTATACAAGTTATTATATTAATTAAAATGGCTAGAAGAATTGCTCAGTCGTCTGTCAATTGGATTGCTATTAGCGAACGTGTTCCTGAAGCTCAAAAATCTGCTTATTTAGCTTTTAAAGCTAAATCTGATGGGTACCTCCGAAAGTATGTAAAGATCATTTTTTACCGAATTAAATGTTTATCGCTAAATATTTCAAAAAATTAAAATTTTATAGATTAATATAATGTGATAAATGAGTAACGAAAAAAATGATATAAATTTATATTACTAATATATATTTTAAATATTGAATGAAATAATTTGCAGAATGTTTGCATTATCCCCAGAAGCACCTAAAATTGATTGGGCCAAATACAAGAATGCTATTCCTATAGCTGGTTTGGTTGAAAATTTCGAAAAGCAATACAATGCCGTTAAAATTCCATATCCCGAAGACAAATATAGAGCATTTATTGATAGCTCTGAAAAAAAAACTGTACATATTCTCTTTGTTTATTCATATATATTTTAATTACTCTTTAGAAAATTGTCTTTAAAAAGTAAAAATAATAAAATTTAAAGGTTTTATTTTTGTGCTTTTAATTTTTACTATTTATTCATATAATGTCATTGTCTAATTATTCTCTTATGAAAATTACAGATGCAGGAAATAGAAGAATTTAAAAAGGTAGCTGCATCTAATATTAAAGAAGCAGAATTAAGGATCGAGGAAATTAAGAATTTGTTGCCATATTCCCAAATGACTTATGAAGATGCTGCTTATATTGAACCTGATTTGACATTAGATCTTGAAAACAAGCCATCATTCTGGCCTCATCAAGAAATTGATTATGTATTTGACGAGCCGCAAGAAGAAGGGTCAGGAAAACAAAAAAAAAGTTGAAGCTGCCCATTAAGTTTTTCATTTTGTTAGTTACATTATAATTTTACTGAATTTTCAAAAAAGTGAACATAACATCTAGAGTAACCTGGACTACAAATAGCTTTTATTTACTATTGCATGCATATAACTTGACTTAAGGGAAATATCATATAAAGTATGTACTCCAATGATTCTTTTCTTCCAGATTTACTTTAAAATGCTATATATTGTAATGATAAGACAAATAAATATTCATGCTCGTAGGACAAATGAATGAACGCAGCGCCCGGTAGTATTCACGTGGGTTCCGTTAACGATCGTTATTTTATATTGTCTTAAGTCTGACTATGTCGAGTAAAAGGAATAGGGTGAGTGGACTGTATGAATAAATGTAGAATGAATTTACAATATATAATTATTAAATGTATAATACTTTAATCATAAAATCTTATATACACCAATGTGGATATGTAGGGCACTTAATACTAATGCCACAATGGCGATGATATGAACAAATAATAAATTATAAATGTGAGTAAGTCTTAAAAAGAAGATAAACAAGCATTATACTTATCGGCTAGTTGAAACGGTAGATGATAATGTTGTATATTGAAAGGATCAATTGAAATCAAATGCAAGTAGTTGATCAACGCGTACAATATGTTGTGAACAGTATTTTAATATATCTCATAAAATATATAGACCCAACGGCGATATACTGAGCGCACAATGATGCGACGATCGTAAAGGTGATATTTTACTTTTACAACAAAACGAATACAAAACTACTCGTTCGCAAGCGCCATAGAGCTTATAGTTGAAAAACGCTAAGATGGCGGCGACAACGCAGACATAGAGAGAAGACCAACAACAACCCGATGTACGACAATATCATTAATAATCATAACACAATTTTTCGACAACACATCAATGTGTATCCAACAATAACATTATAAAATTCTAGCGTTAAGAAACTAGTTTAATCAATTTATTTTTCTTACAAATTTTGTTAGTATCTATCAATCCTTCTGGATAATTAATTGTAATGTACTTAAAAGCGTTTTTTAGATTTTTTTCTAAGTCTAATATCACGAATTTTTAATCCTAGGATTTCATTAAGTGCAAAAATAAGTCAAATCATACATAATTCACAGAATTTTCTTATAAATTCAGGTGACACTTGATTTTATTTTACCTAATATTGAGTGACTAAGGAAAAAACTCTGAAATTGAACGCATCTTCAACATTTATAATTTTTTTCTAATAAGTTTTCCCTATTTACTCGTTTAATATTAAAAAAAAAATTTTTAAAAAGAGAACTCACTCAAAAACTTAAACAAATTGATATGTCACTTGAAAAGGTCATTTTTAACACCTTGTAAGAGTTTTTAGGATAAATATAATTTTGAAAGCTTATCAGCAGAGCTTAATTGTAGTATTTTGAAGCTCAAGGCAAGGTTGAAATATAATATAAGGGGACATCCTTATAAAATGCTATACTATAAGTAAAAAAAAGGTTTGATCTAAAAATCTAAGGCCCTTAATAAACGGTGGCCATAGGAAGCTGCCTACTGTGCCTAATAGAAAATATGGATCTGCGAATCAGTAATCTTAGCTCGAAAGAGTGTAGTATTATCAGTGATGTAAGATTTCATGTTTTTAAAGGCTACTGTTCGCTTACAAGCTCCTAAAATCTCGGTCGGCCTAACTAACTTAAGGAATGGAGAAAGGGAACTCCTATGACTTTATTAGTTATAAAACCAAAAAAAATAGGATGTGCCTATAACAACAATATTAATATATAATTAATAATCAAGTTATGTTTGGGCGTTACCACTTACATTACTAATTAACAACTAAATATTACAATGAAACAAAATGAATACATGTATAAAATTTATAAGTATCGTGGAATTTGATAATCTAACCTGGCCATAACTTCAGTGATCGGACTATAACTGGTGTATTCAACTACCTTCTACCGTTTGACGGAAACAACACAGATTATGTAATCCATCACACGCACTGTAAATCCACCGTATTCACAACACCGTAAAGTTTGCGGGACAACTAGTGTCGGCGTCGATGTGTCTAATCAGCTTGACCATACACCGGTTACAGCTGGTAGATAAGCCAACGACTATTGCCAGTCAGTGAACGGCTTCCCCACTTAAATGTGTAAAACAGGTTAATTAAAAATCCCTTTATTCATATATCATTTTTCTACCATTTCATCAAAATTAAGATTCTAATGAATCATTATTTATGACAAACCTTAAATTTAGCCAAGCGTGAAAAACCTCATATGTACAAAAAATGGATATTAAAAATGTTTATCTCTGAATTAAAAAATACGGTACTTGATGATAGGGTTTTGAAAACATTTTTTTATTTTTTCTAGTTTAATTTTAAGTAATTTTTTTTACTTTGAGGAGTTATCCTGAAAAATTATACCTGAAATATAAATCAACCCAACCTAAAAAATGACATAAAAGTATTATTGATAAATTATACCTTATAGAATTTGATCTATTATAACATGAGAAGTTTAAAAGTATTAAATATTTGTTTATACTGTAAACTTTGACTTATTAAAATAATTTAGTTGTTAAATTTATCACAAACAGTTAGCAAAATTCAATCCACACCCTCCTAAAAATTATCTCTAGGATCTCCCCCATGTTGAAATCAAAATAATATGTTAAAACTACGTTAATATTTGCTAAAACAGCTTTGTTATAAAGATATTGTGTATTGTGAGTATAATTTAAAAAAACTAAGGAGGGCCTATTTTAAAATAATAGGTATTCATAAAGATGTAAAAAAACATTTTAATTTTTTTTTCGTGGTATATACCACTTTTTCTTAGCTCTCACCGAATTGATTTCTTTTAACGATACGTCAAAAGATCACAAATCGTAATTAGTCGAAGACATTAAAAAGCTGATTAAATTTTACACAACTCTGTATTAATTATTAAGTGGAGAAATACGGTCGTCACCCTCAATAAGTCGAGTTGTTACGGTGGTGTATATTATAGTAAGTGTATATATGCTTCCATCAGGCGTCAGTTGTTTGTTTAATGTTTGTTAGTTTAATGTATGCTTTTTGGTATTATGTAACTACATCTAGCGGTAAGAAAAAGCGTTATATTGTATAATTAATTGGTAAGAAGTTGGTGGATCAAATATTGATAGCTTCATACTCTTCCATTATTAATTATGCATTATCACAAAGAATCAGCTGACCTTACTAAGTATTAATTAGTGTAAACAAGTATTTGATTTAAATATTGTTCGTATTAAATTTAAAGATTAAGAGATTAAAAGAAATTAATTTAGAGATTTACTATTTAATTGTCGTTTTGTTTTTATTATGACTACGAATCTGGTAGTTAGTGGAAATAATGGTATGAGAATTCCCGTTAAAGTCAATCCTAATATGTCCATTCTCAATGTAAGTTTAAATTTTCAACAAGTTGTATTATTTTATTTAAAAAAATAGCTAATATAAAAATTTGAAATAATATTGAAAAGTTCTGAGTTAAGTAACTGCATTAATCAATAATACTATTAATTTTCCACCTAATTTGATTCACTATTATTTAAATATTTTAGTTTTTAAATTAAATATAAAAAATTTAGGTATATTTTTCTAATTCATAAAAATGTCAAACTAAAATTTTGAACTTCATAATATTGATACCAATGTTTTTTGGTTTTACTGTTCTTATTAATAAATAGTTTGTAAAAAGAGATGTGTTAAATAAAAATGAGAAATTTAAAATTTTCTGTTAAGTTAATTTTAATTTTTATATTTACTTAAATATAAAAAGTAAAAATTTCTTGTATTGATAAATTTAATGCTTTTCATTCATTTTTAGATCGTTAATTACTCCTATGTAGTTCCTTATAAAATTAAAAAAATTAGAAAAATTCAAGCCAAATTTTATCACTTTTACTTTCTTAAAGATATACTAGATGTTACCAAAATTTTTATATTGTAGAACATTAGTTTGAAAAAATAATTTTTACTTTATTCAATTCCATTACCCAGGTTTGGTTTGATTTCTATATTGTTACTGTATTGAATTTTCCTTGAAATCATAGTATATGTCCTACCATTTTATTTTAATATGCTTTATGGATATTACCCATACATCTTAAAAGGCGTCTATAGTGATTTAAATTGGTTGCAAAAAAAAATTTTTACTGGCCAATATACCTTCCTAAATAGCCATAAAATTTGGTTAATATTAGAGTAGAGTCTTGCAAAGAATTTACTCTATTTAATAACGCCAGATTGAAAATTTTATATATTGTACTATGATAGTTCACCTTAAATTCAATGTAATTTTGAATTTTTTTTGTTGGTAGCAATTGTTATAAACCCATTTTTATAAGACTATATCAATCCAAAAATAACATTAATAATACATAAAAATGAAAAATAAAACATATATATATATATAAATTTGAGAGTTGTGTGTTTATTATATGTTGACTGTTTTATTTCAAAAATTCTAAAATAGTAAATTATCTGAATGACTTTTGTTATATGGTAAGTTTTAAATAACTTGCATGTTATTTATTCATTCAATTTCATGAATATAATTTATATTTTTAAAATCATTTATAGGTACTGGAATTAGCATGTACTAAAATGAAAGTTGATTACAATAATTATGATTTAAAGTAAGCTTCAAATATGCAATTATTAATTTTTGTAGACTTAGTATAACATTTAGATGCTAAATAGTAACTTTCTTTTATTTTTTAATTAACATAGTATATTTTTAGTTTTGTCTTAAAATTTTCTTTTAAAAAAATTACTATTTATCTGGATGGTATGTGTATCTATTATGTACCAAAAAATGGTATGCTTATTTTATTGATAAGGTCAGCTTTTAAATATGTTTACATAAGACACCATTAAAAATAAAAATGTTTTTTTTTGCTCTCTAAAGATAGCTAAAATTTGCTTATCCGTTTTTTATAAATATTAATAAAAAAATAAAGTCTTGAAAATACTTATTAGAATTATTTCATCCACAAAAATATTTTTGTCAACTTATGTATTTAAATTTTTATTATAATTAATAATTCAAAATATTTTTTCAAATTTTAAATACTTCAATTGCAAATAATATATACTGTTAATATATAAACCAAATAAATTTAAATAGCAAACACATTATATGAACATAAAATATTAATCATTATACATATTAACAGTATATATTATTTGCAATAGAAGTATTTAAAATTTGAAAAAACATTTGGAATAATTAATTATAATAAAAATTTAAACATATAAGTTGACAAAAATATTTTTGTGGATGAAATAATTCTAACAAGTATTTTCAAGACTTTATTTTTTTATTAATATTTATAAGTTTGAATAAAAATTTTAAATAATATACTTGAATGTACATTAATAAAATATCACTTATAGATATTAATTTAACAGTTTATAAATAATAAAGTATTAATCTAAAATAAATAAAAAAAAAAAGTTTAATGCTTAAAGATCCTTTTTTGAAACATGACTCTAAAGTCTTGAAAATAGAGCTAAATCTCTTTTCTGGCAAAATTCTCAATTATTATTTGTAATTAAAAAAAAATTTTATTATTGTTATTCATACAATTTTTTTAGGTATCACAACAAAATATTAGATTCTACTAGTATCTTAAGGTTTTCTAATATTGCTAATAATGCTATATTAGAACTAGTACCTACTACAAAATCTAAACTAAAAAGCATTGTTGTTATATGGCTTCAGTTAGAAGATGGTTTGAGATTATCTGGAGAATTCACACCAGACCGTAAGTTTTTTAAAATATTACATTTAAAAAAATGTTTACAATACTTTGATTTAGAAAATTTATGGGAAGTTGTTCAGTCAATATTGAAAGATAAAGTAATTAATTATGAGAGTCCTACTATAATTTATACTAGAATAGAAATTATTGGTAAAGATAAACTACAAAATAAAACACTTAAAGATTTGGGTCTTATAAATGGAAAAGCTTTATTGAGGTTTGTTTTTAATATTTATAAATGATTTAACTTGTCATGGAAATATATTCTAGTCAAATTATTTGTGTACAAAATTAAAGATTAGAACTAAAGTGGTGTAAATCAATTTTCTAGAATTTTTAAGAGATTCAATTATAATTCTTAATTTTATTCATACTTTTATAAAACTATGAATAAAAAAAATAAATATAAATAATGTAAAATAAAATTTGAAAAAACTCTCTAGAATTTATGCTGCTTAACATTATCATATGATCTCCAAAACAATTTTCTTTTCTTTATATAAAAAAAATAACCTAAATTAATGTTTGTATGTAGTCAAAGAAATAAAATTGAAAAAAAGAGTTATAAAATATTAAGTGGATTAATTTGGAAGGTAGTGGTCATTGAGAAATTTTCCACTTAAAATATATAAAAGGCAGAAGTGTTCCTGATTATTTCGAAAATAAAAATCCCTCTATATTTTTCAGTTCATACTGTTAATTAGTCTTTAGCATATAATTTATGTTTTTTTTTTCAAAATATGTTGGGCTACCCCAAAAATTTGTTCATTTTCATATTGCTCTGTTATTTTTTAAATTTAATTGTGATAAAGCTGCATTTATTTTTTTAAAACTCAACTTCAATATTGTTGAATTTTTTCGCTTTTGACAAACTTATTGCAAGTTATATTCCTTCACAAAGCTAACACTTTCTCAAGCAAAAGTCCAGAGAGTATATTCTATTTATAACTTATAAAAAGTATAAATAATTCATGTAAACATCCAACAAAAAAGATAATCATGTAGAGCACTCAAAGTCACTTAGCACCAACGCGTTTTTTTTTACTTTTGTTACAACATGAATGTTATTAAAGCCCAGCAACTAATAACACTAATAGAACACAAAAAAATTACAAATTCTTAAACGTTTCACTCAATTATAAAATAATAAAAACTCATTTTTAGTAGATTTTTATTTTGTATTAATAATAATATAGATAAGTTTTATTTGTTTATATTAACAAAGTATACATATTACCAAAATAGCATGATCAAATTAAGTAATTTAAAGTAGCATTACTCATTTACAATATCGGTAATATTAACTACATTATCCATAATTGCGATATTTTTTTTATTATCAATAATAAACAGTTATCATTTGACATTGATGAACGGGCGGGGATGACAAATAGTACCCAAACACCAATTCTCTTGGGTATGGAAAAGAATGGACTATATATTATACTAAAAGAAACGTCTAGTTACTCATATAACACATAAATGATGAGAATGGGCGCCTACACAAAATTGAGAAATATGAGCTAAAGATAAACTGAACTAATGAATAAATAAAACAAGTGACTAAAATGTAGTTATCACAGTTATATTAAATAAAAAATAAATTAATTGATAAATATGTAAATACCAACTACAAATTAACAAACAAGTATTGATAATAGTTACTTTGACTCAATAAATAATTAATATTTCAATGATATGTATAAAAATATATCTTTTTTTAAATTATATAATTGGTAAAAAAATTACCTACTAGTCATTATCAAATATTATAAAAATAATCTTAACTGAATAAATCACTATCTATAACATAAAGCTATTTTATATTACCTATCATTTCTTAATAATGTTTACCTTTTTATATTTTCAATTTCTCAACATTTTAATTAATAAAACCTACAGAACCGCAGATGAGGTATGAGCACTGGTTAGCTGCGACAACCACCTGAAACAGAACTTGTAAAAAACAAACAACACAAATAATTTTTAACAGTTCCTTCAATCAATTTAAAATTACAATAATACAACTTCTAAATAAATCACAAAAAAAAACTAGGAACTTAAGTTAATTTCTGAACTGAAAAACTTAAAAAAATAAAATATAACACAACAAAAAAATCAAAGTTAACACATTTTCTAAAACTATATATCATTTTTTTTCATTAACCTAATATTTACATAGGGAGATGAGGTGATAGAGAAAACAAGAGCACAAGACATATGGTTCTATATATACTCTTTAAGAAACTACCAAGGGTTGCATTACAATAATATATACAGGATGATTTTTTTTATCATAACCCACTCAAGCTGTCACAGTCACGGATTGTTTATTATCAATTATGACTATCAATAGATATACTTTTTGTATTGTCAGTCAGTGTATATATAAACTCACAACAATGTACTTTACTACCATTGATAATAATAATGCTTTGTACCTGCTAATATCGATGTCATAAAAACCAATTATCTACCTGTATTTGTAATCCTTTGTGTATTATACATGTATATTAACTCAAAAATTTGAAACTTTAAATGTTTATATCTAATAAACAAATAAAGTTATATTAAAAATTCAAATGCCGTTTACTATTAGATTAAAAATTCAAACATTTTATTAAATTCAAAATATATGTTCCCATTTAAAATAACAAAGTTGGCACTCATAAAAAGTATAAGGGATGAACTTAAAAAGTATTACATAGTTAATAATTCAAAAGTGATGTGTAACTAAAGATAATCGAAAAAAAAATGTTTAATTTATTATTATTCTATAAGTAATTGAGTGGATTATGATAAAAAAATCACTCTGTAAATATATATATATATTTTTTTGTTATATTTTGTTGTATTTTTACATTTAGAACTGGTTAAAACAATTTTTAGTTGAAAAAACACTACTATTTACTATTTGCTAATGTTATAATGTAATAACACTTAACCATATTAAATTCTCATATTGTAATACTTAAATTTAAGGTTGAAATAATTAAGGAATATTAAGAAAACTATTAAAAAAAAGAAATTTTTAAGAGGATTTGAATAAGAACCCCCCATGCGTTTTACAACCTGTAAATCATTGAATTTTTTTATAGATTTCTTAACAAAAAAGAATTAGTAGAACAAGCTCATGTGTATGTTCCTGCAGAGAGAAAACCAAAAATTGAAGAAAAATATAATATCCTTGAAAATTCTTCAATTAATCAGTTGAGCAATATTCCCGAATTAAAACAACAACTTTTTGAAAAAAATGAAGGTTGCACAAATTTTGAAGTATTAAAAGAACAACAATTTTTAAAAAAAGATATAATTGAAAAATCTGTCGTTGATAATACACATGTAAAAAATGAGGAGGCTGTAACCAAACTTAGTAATGAAGATCTTAATAATTTTAAAGCATCTATTAAATATGTTAGTATTATTTTGTTTAAAAATTTCATAAAATGTTAATAAATTATTTGAATTAATTCATATAGTTGGACGAAAGAGAAACTCTACTATTTAATATTATGGATGGAACTTCTGTAATTTATAAAGATGAAGAAGATGATTTTTTTGAACCAACTATAAGAGATGTAACTCTTGTTTTCCGAGATTTAAAAAACTACAGGTAAATTATAATTTGATTTAGAGTAATTATTATGTGAGGAATGTCAAAAATACATCTTTTAATTTATAGTTCTAATCAATAATTTTCTCTTGAGTGTTGTTCTTATAATTAAGTTTGATTTTTTTTACATGTATTAGAGTGGTTCTTAATAATAAAACTCAATGTTTTTATTATATTACCCTCTATATTTGTTTAGCCATATTAGAAAGAAATGTAGGCGAATTTTAAAAGGGTTACTCAACTCTTTCTGGCGCAGAATAATGGTTAAAATATGACAATAGATAATAAACGCTTTTGATTTTATTGAATTAACCTCGAAAACTTTTACACTGAGTATTAAAATGTATAGAACCTTAATTACAAAACTTATTATAAATTAGTTATTTTGGAAAAAAATTAATGAAACATAAGAAATTTCCAAAATTTATATAAATATTATTTTTAGTTATCTTAATATATTAATTAGATGATTGAATTTACTATGAAACATTCTCATAAAAAAGATCCATATAATATTTCCTTAAAAAATATCTAATAAAGTTTTACATTGGATCAATCATTTTTCGATTTAGTATATGAAATTATAAGGTATAAAATAAAGCAACTATCAATTTACGTGTATTTTACATGTATTATTAAGTAAATTCTAATTAATAAATATATGTGTAGTATTTAGAATTCACAATTCTACGATTACTACGTATTCATAGATTACTATGATTATTTGTTAAAAATAAAAATGGGTGACATTATTGTTATTTCTTTAATAATATATCCCAAACATTTATTATTATTTAATGATCAATCTTTTCATTTTTTATGGTATTATATCAGATGTATATTATATGTCATTGTGTCAAGTTTTTAGATTTGTTTTAATTAATAGTATAACAATATAAAGAGTTTTTTATTTTTTATTTAATTTAAATACACCTTGAAACCAATTTTATCTAAAAGATACAATGAATAATCAAATTACTGGGAGCGAATTGCCTTCTATAAAAAATAATTTAATGTAATATATATACTTTTTTTTTATATAGCATTTATTAAAATAACAATTAGCTCAACAATTTTAAGCAAAATTAAAAAGTATAACAATCATAATAACATATTATAACGGTACAACAAATGCAACAATTATTGTTAGTATACTCAAAATTAGAAAAAATTAAACATTATTTAAAATTATTGTTAACAGAGCCTTTAATGTCAAACTGAGAACTTATTAAATTAAAATTAATGGAAAGAAAGGAAGAAGAGAAAAAAAATAGATAAATAAATAAATACAAAATAATAATAATAATAATATAATTAGAGATTAAATGGTAAAGCCGGAACTCCTCAGGAAAGATATGATGGAAATAATTATAATAGAAGAACAGAAATTAAGAGTATTAGCTACAGAAGAGGGATTAATATTATGGGAGGCTAAGAGGCTAAATAGTTTATTTCTGCTGTTAATTAGGGCAGGACAATCAAATAGAAGATGAGGAAAATTACATAGAGCTTCACTATCATGTAGGGGACTGAAGGGAACGGAATTTAAGGAAAGATAGAATGCATGGTAAGGAAAAATATTTGACCTAACCTAAGTCTAGAGTACTGAGAAATTATGTCTGGATAAGTCAAGGTTATGAAACCATATATGATCGTATGTCCGATGTATAAAAAAGAAGACTCGATGAAAACAACTAACTATAGAGGAATTTCATTTTTAGACACCTGTTATAAAGTTCTGTCAATGATAATCCTGCAAAGGCTGGAAGTATATGCTAACGATATAATTGAAGACTATCAAAACGGCTTTATGAGAGGGAAATCTACCATATATCCCATTTTTATTAACAGACAATTGTTAGAAAAGTACTACGAGTATGGTAGAGAAGTGCACCTTTGCTTCATGGACTTTAAACAGGCGTACAACAGTATTAGAAGGGAAAAATTATGGACAGTACTGGAAGAATTTAGTATACCAATCAAATTAATCCAGCTGATAAAAGAGTGCAATACCAAAACATACTGTAAAGTAAAATTTGCGAATAAACTATCAGAAAGTTTTGAAGTTGGAGCTGAACTAAGACAGGGAGATGCACTTTCTCCCGTACTTTTCAATCTGGTGTTATAAAAAGTAATTAGATCTCTCCCCGATAGTGTTCTGGGACAGAACACTATCTCGGCATCGCAGATGATATTGTTATAATTGGTATTTCCTGAAACGAAGTGGAAAGGAGGACTGCAGACCAAATAAAAGCAGCGGAACCAATTGGATTAAAAGTTAATCATGAAAATACTAAGTACCTAGTAGTATCAAGAGAAGCGAGAGCACAAGCTGATTTGCTAGTGGGTGGATATGTCTTTCAACAAGTAACAGATTTTAGGTACTTAGGAACTAATATAAACAGCTGAAACAATATGCACAATGAAATTAAATTGAGAATTGCATCAGGGAACAAGGGATATTTGCATTTGCGAAATTATTTAAATCCAAACTACCGTCCAGGCAGTCTAAAGCATATCTATACTCCAAATTTTTACGACCAGTTTTGACGTATGGGTGTAAAATCTGGTCAGTGATTAAGGGAGATTAGAAGATAAAAAATGTTGAAAAAAAAAGTACTACGTCGAATCTATGGTCCTGTAATGAAGAGTGGTGAATATAGAAGAAGAATTAACCAAGAATTGTACCAAATGTTTAATAAGCCCATTATTAGTTCATTTCTAAAAAGTAAAAAGTTAGAATGGGCGGGTCATATTTGGAGGTCTGAAGGTATGGTAAAAAACCTGTTTACTGGAAGACTAAACGTTAAAGACCCAGGAGTCGACCAAGACAGAGATGGACGGACAGGGTGAAAATGGATCTCATGGAAATTTCAGAAGAAATAAGGATTGAAGATAACGATAACAGAGATAGGTAGAGAGGTGTGGTTGAGGCAGCGAAGGTCTTAAATGGACTGTAAAAGCTGGAGAAAAAGAAGATATGTCTTTTTAAATAATTTATTTTAAAGAACGGAAATCCTTTTGATATTGCTATTGCTTATTTATTGAAAATATAAAATTACTGCAAATACCAAAACGATCGGTACTAATGTTAATACCAAATACAAATAAGGATTTAAAATACCAGTTTTAATATATTTAATTATGTCTCAATAAATTTCATTATTATACATAATAATTTTTATTTGATTTAACTATCTTTATTTTTTTTTTATATATATTTTGAGCCATAAAAATTTAAAAGTAAAATTATAACACTAATTAAAATAATACATTAACCCACTTACTGAAGCTTGTGTATGAAATAATATATGTATGTATTAATGTATATTTTTTATTATAATTATATGCATATATAATGAAATTATGTGTGTTAAAGATCTCAACTAGATGATGGACAATTATGTACAAATGCAATGAAAGAATTAGAAAAAACTCAAAATCAATTAAATATATTACACAAGTACAAAAAGTGTATTGTAAGAATACATTTTCCTGATCGATTAGTGCTGCAAAGTGTATTTAAGCCTACAGATAGTATTGGAGATGTTACTAACTTTATCAGAAAATATTTGATAAATGAATCAATGGATTTCCATCTTTGTAAGAACATTTCAAACATTTTCTTATCAAAATTTATATAATATCATGTTTATAATTTTTAGTTACTGCTCCGCCTAAAACTATTTTAAAAGAAAAGAAAACTCTTTTAGAATATAAATGTGTGCCTTCAGCAATGATTCATTTTTCAAGTGAAATAGAAGGTGGTTATTTAAAGCCAGGTGTTTTAGAAAATATTGTGTCAGCTAATCAAGCATCAATTGCAGCTTATCTAGTGAGGTGAGCCTTTTTTTGATTTTAACACATTTTCAAATATTCAAAAAAAAAACATAGTATATTTGACTTAAGGCATAACCATATAACACAGATAGCATTTGAAAAATGTATGGGTCAATACAATTTTTTCATTAGAAGTAGTATTTATAAACATCTTTCATTCGGCATACTTTATCTAATTCAGAATATATATAAGGAAATAGGAGATCATGTAGCTTTTGGAATAGTCCACCAATTTTTTAAAATAAAACACTATCTAAAGATTGCATCGAAGGGTTTTTTATTACTGTCAGATATCATTATACTTGACCCAACTATGCCACGTCACTACTGTGCCACGACCCCCTGTGCTGGGTTTTTATAATTGACACTACAACTATACTTTCTCTTATATGTTCGTTCCCTATCCTATCTTTTCTAGTCACTACTCATTCATCTCAGCTACACTATTGCTCTATTCTCTTGTCAAATGTCCAACACTAACCCATACATCATAGCTAGTCTCATTATAGTCTTATAGAACACACCTTACTGCCTCATTAAAATTCTTTTATTGCATAACACACCAGACGCTTCTCTCTAGTTCAACCACCCAAATTTAAACATATGTCTTACACCCTCGTCAATGCCACGGTTCTTATGCATCAATAAAAAACAAATCTGCACGAAAATTTGGTTTCCCAAATTATATTTTCGACTGTGTTGAAAAGTATCTGTATACCGGTATATTTATTCATAATATTTTATTTTATTTATAAGCAACACTTATGAATTTTTTTTAAAAAATGTTTTATCATCTATAATTAAAGACTTACCTAATTTATATATATATATATATATAAGCTTTTACAAATTTTTTTCCAGCAAAGAAAGGAAAAATAATGAAATAAACACAAACACGGAAAACATTGGAATAATTCAGGATCCACATGATAGAAGACATGTTAAAGAAGAACAGAAAATTAAACCTAAATGGTTTAAATTTAAATAAAAATTATTTATCATATTCTAATAAATTATAAGCATATTCGATTTTATTTTATTTTATTGTTATTGTGTGTAATAAATAACTGCATTTGATAATTATTATTATAATATAAAAACATATCTTTCTTTAAGCCCTGAAAAAATTTACAACATTTTTAAATAATAATTTGTATATTTTTGTTGACAATTAATTTGATTTTTGACCAAGCAATTGAAGGTTTACTAAATGTCTCATTGTGGGTCTTCCATGAGGGCAGTTCTAGAAAATGTCAATTATTTGAATAAATAATAATAATAAAAACTTTTTATAATAACTTTACTAAAGCAAAAGAAATAGTTTTATATAGTTATTTAATAGTATATTATAGTGATGGGAAATATTGAATAGTAACTATCAAACTATAAGATAGTAGGGTGGTCCTTATTTTTCAAACTCAATTTTTTTAAGACAGTACCCTCTAGATTGGTTAAATACTATTAAAATGTAATGTAGGTAAAATTTGGAAATTTTTATTCAACCCCTTCTGGTGCCGCATTAGGGTTGAAATATGGTACTTGATGGTTGTTTTTGCTTTTTTTGTGTTTAACTCGACAACTATTACACTTAGCGCTAAAATGAATAGAATATTAATTATAGAACTTATTATTGCCTACAAATAAAGTAATAACAATATTTTTTATAAATTTATTATATTTTGAGAAAAATAACTTAACATAAAAATTTTTCAAAATTTAACATAAATATATTTTTTTAAATATTTTAATATTTTTACTGAGTGGTTGAAATTTCATTAAATTTTCATGTAATCTTTTTTTATAAAATTAATATTAAAAAAAAAAAGCTAAGTAAAAAATTGTATAAAATAACTATATAATAATTTCATGAATATTAACTAAGATTAAAAAAAAAAAAATGTATAATCCATTCTATCAACACATAATTATTACAAAATTCATAGCACATTTATCTACATGGAACTAGTATTTGTCTTTTAATATATTTTTTTTAATGTTTCTCTATCACATTTTAGATATTTTTTTTGATAGTCTTGGACGGTCTAAAAATTTAAACGATATAATTAAGTTAAGTTAAAAATAAAAATTGTTAAATTTACCTGCAATAAAAATTGTTTTTGTTCTTCGTCTTTAGTAAATTTATCATTATATTCTTCCATTAGCTTGACTCCTCTCTCAGCTGTGTCGTTAACTATTTTCAATGATTTGATTATTTCTCTACCTGTTTTGAAGTCTTCCTGATAATTCCAATAAGCTGGATCAATGCTTAAAAAAATTGTTTGAATTTTAAACCGCTTAAACATTTCAATTGATTTGGAAGTTATTAAATCAGTTGGTAGGTCTTTTTGAAGAAAATTGGGGACATCGTCTGGTGTAAGAGTTAACTTTTTATTCAGATTAGTTTCTTCATCATCATCATCATTATAACTTAAAATTTTTTCAGCCATTTTGCGTTTTGTATTATAGTCTATACGATTGTCAAATAAGGAAAAAGTAATACATTCTGGATTTAAATACCACAAATGATTAGTTATTTTTTTTAATGCCACGTCTGCGATTTTTTTATTTTGTAATTTATAAGATTCTAATTTTCTAAGAAATAATATGTCATTAAAAGGAGCTTCTATAGCTTTTGGAGATGAAAACCAAGCTTGAACGTAACATTTTACAATAAAACAACAAATATCCTTTAATGATGTTTCTTCTCTGCTGTCTAGTTTAAATTGATTTTTAAACAAAAATATTTTTAAACAATATATTGCTTTAGCCATCCATCTGGCTAAATGATAAGGACCCGGTTTTCGAAAAGCATTTCCCCTTTGAGGAACACCGCCCAAAAATATAATAACAAGTTCTAAAAACTCTTGATAATCATCTCGGGGGAGATATTCAGTAATTTTACTTTTTGCATATAAAATAATTTCATCGGCTTCATCTTTTAAAATATTATGAACATAAGTATCAGAAATTGATGTAGAGAATTTTGTTTTATCAATTGTTTCCCATTCTTGTTGAAACCTCTTGAATAATAATATTTCTGGTCCGGTTGAAGGACATAATTTGGTATCTGAAAATACGCCTTGTAAAACAAGTTCATAAATATGATGTCGGCATGCTAAGAATAAAATTTCTCTTCCAAGACGTTGCTCTAACAAAAAACACGCCCCATTCAACCTTCCCGTATTAGAGGCCGTAGTATCAAATGTGAAAGCCTGTACTTTTTCCAATAGTGACCATTTGACTAAAGCGTCATAGACAGCTGATGATACTTCTAAACCTTTCCCAGAGGGTATATAAGGGACTCCAAGAAGCTGTTCAAAATTTAAGGCGGTTGCAATAATAGGGAGGCGATCGACTTTTTTTTTCCCTGTAAGGTCTGGAAGCATTTTTGAATCCCAATGGATCACAACAAAATTCAAATTTTGTTCATGAAATTTAGAACTAATATTTTCTGCAATTTTTTGTCTATAATGTTCACGGGACCTTTTAATTGACGATCGGTTTAAAACATATATGCTGGGATCTAATGATAAGGCATTCAAACATGCAGTTAACAAATGAACAGCATCCCTATCACTTATTTTACACCTATCAAGAGTGGCAGATAATCTAGAAGTTAAATGTTCTTTTCTACCTCTTTTATTTTTTGACGGACCTGCTACTGGTGAAAATTGTCTCTCTTCTTCACTTACGATTTCCATATCACATGAATCCGATGAAGTACATGAATATTTTTCTAAATTAAATCATATATAATTATTAAAAATATAATAAACAATGTTTATTAAACATTCATTATTTTTAAAAATTACCTTCTAATAAAGTCTCTGTATCTGAGTGAGGTATAAGTATTTTATTTTTCTGTTCTTGTCTTATTTGCATTTTTTTTTCTGCTTGGGTTAAACTCATATCTACACCCATCATACATCCGGGACGTCCCTTAGTTCGTTGAAGTCGCAAAAAATCAATATCTTCTTGGATCTTCATTAGACTGATTGCATTAACATGAGCTATATCAAACAATTCTTCGATTTGGTCTACAAAATTTTGTTCTCTTTTCTTGTATAAGTCGCTGGTCCTGGTTTTATTTTTCTCTAAATTTCTTAGTTCATCGTAAAACTTTTTTAATTTTCTTATAATATTAGCTGGATCTTGCGTAGGTATTCGAGCTTTTTTCCAGTAAATTAGACATCCGTCAACAGCAAGCGCCGCACTTTCATGCAAATTCAATTTTACAAATCTTAAATTATAATACAATACACTCAAAACATTTTTAACTGAAGGTAATTTACTTCCAGTAATTTGATAATTCATTGCTCCTACTAAATACACTTGGTTACGTGACATATTTAAATAAAATAAAATTTCAAAAAAACTGTATCACTAAACTAATATTTTAACAAATCTTAAAACTTGACACAATAATAAGCAAAAAACTAAATTACAAGAAAATATCTGATATTAGTCCATGAAAAATGATTATTGGTAAGAACTTTTATTGTTACCTATTATTACACAAACAATAATAATGCCACAATTCTTATCTTCTATGGATAATCACAGTAAATTCCACACGTTCAAAATAATAAGTATAGCATTTAGAACAATACAGGTAAACTGATATTTGATTTTTGCGCCATAAATTCTAATACATCAATATATAATTGCACTAACGTGAAATATAATATGAGTTTTTTTAGGAAATATTACTAAAACCAATTTTAAAGGAAAAACTCGATGAAACTTCAACCACTCAGTAAAAATATTAAAATATTTAAAAAAATATATTTATGTTAAATTTTGAAAAATTTTTATGTTAAATTATTTTTCTCAAAATATAATGAATTTATGAAAAATATTGTAATTACCTTTTTTGTAGGCAATAATAAGTTCTATAATTAATATTCTATTCATTTTAGCGCTAAGTGTAATAGTTGTCGAGTTAAACACAAAAAAAGCAAAAACAACCATCAAGTACCATATTTCAACCCTAATGCGGCACCAGAAGGGGTTGAATAAAAACTTCCAAATTTTACCTACATTACATTTTAATAGTATTTAACCAATCTAGAGGGTACTGTGTAAAAAATATTAATAAAAAATTTCTTCTTATATGATTAAGGACCACCCTAATAAGATAGTCTATGCTAAAAATAAACTATTCGGTTGTATAAACATAATTAAAATTGTTAATCGATAGTTTATAATATTTGAAAATACCCATTACTAATTTTTACTATTAATAATTGTATAATAATTTACTTTAAGTATTCGTTAATTATCTTCTTGTTATATTTAAATGTACTGAATAAAAATTTTAGATAGAACTAATCGAATATTTTTTGAAACCATTCGATAGTCTATTCGAATAGTTTATGCTAAAAATAAACTATTTAGTTGTATATAAACAATTCGAATAATTATTCGATAGTTTAAAATATTCGAAAATACCCATCAATAGTATATTACTATTTGTAATATATTAATTGTAGAATTTTTTTGGCTAACCGCTTAAAATTTAATGTAAAGAAAAAAAAACATACTAAATAACTCTTTTAACAATCACTAAAATCTGGCGCTATATACTACACCTTTTAATATAGATATAAATAGATTTTTTCTTTCTTTTTTAAAAAAATGATATTAGTTATTCTTAAAAATATTGAAAAATTTCAATAAATATATATATATATATATATAATATTATAAAACCAAATTTTCTAAAAAATATTTCTATGTTTTATCATTTTTTGTACATTTTATATCTGAGCGCATGGTAGTACTTGAAGATAATGATACAATTTGATTGGTTTTTCCAACCCCCGTATCACTGTTTCCTACTAATCAGCTGTACTAAGATTCAGATCATATGTACAGTACATTACACATAAGTTATATTTACTAAACACTTAAAATATAACTTTAGTGTATCGTTAACATAAAATAATAGCTTAAATTTATTATAAAAATATCTCACTAGTAACTAAGGTACACTATTGCTTGTGCCTCCTTCAGGTAATTAAAACTCATTTAAGGAGATAGGGATAATATTTGGATAGACGTTAGGTATCTTCCGATTCTTGGTTCTAAACAAATGATCCCTGAATATTAAACGAACTCCTAACACTTTTAATGCTTCCTCTAATATATTTAATCTTTTTTCGTTATTCCACTTATCCATCTAAGCATTCTCATATCTGCTACACTCGTTCTTTGCTCTACTTTCTTATCAATCGCTTATAATATAATCCAATCCATACAACATTTTATCTCACATAATTCTCTCTACTTGATACAGCGTTTTTTTGTACAAATGATCTTAGATATTATAACACATACTTAGTATATTCCTTCTTATAATAATTCTTAATCCCATTCTATTAAGTGTCAATCTCCGCTTATCAAGCCTTTAGTTAATTTATAGGGAAAGTAGATATAACTACATGATAGGAGGAGAATGGAAATTTTTCTTTTTTCATAAGAACAATTATATTGGTACTAAAATTTATGATATTTGTTATTAAATTAAGTACTTTTTTTTAAATCATGGAATTCAATATAACTATGTAATCAATAAGCAGTATACCAAAATAAATTTTGTATTTACCCATGGTTGCTCAATTACGCCCATATGGTCAATTATTTTTCTCATATCTTTAGCGGTTAATACAGAACCAATCATAACTGACTTACGACAAGCACGGGAAGCAAACATAGATCGAACTCTGGATGGCCTGCATAATGTTTGTGGAGCGTCCTTAAAAAATATGTCAAGATTTTCATGTAAATTATGCAATTATACGACGATTTACATTACAATGGAAAGTATAAAGATAATAGATCATTTTTTCATAATTATCTAGATAATGGTACCATCTATTTTTTTATTTTGTAATTCACAAAAAAAGAAAAAATTAATTAAAAATAAATAATATTTAGATAGTTTTTGATAGTGTATATTTTCTTAATTTTGAGTTCATATAAAAGACTCCACATAATTTAAATGCTTTATAAATTTTTAATAAGCTTATAAGTTATTAGGTCTAATTGTACATATAAGTTTTCAAAATCTATAGGAAAAATTTGGATAAAACAGTAGACAACTGCTGGATTGCAGAATTAAAATACAGTGATATTACCGAATATAATTCAAAATTATATAATAAAACAAAAATAAGCAATATTTTAAAGATATTTTCAAATTAAATAATCATAAAATGTTTGAAGTTCTTTTTAACAAAAAATGGTGTTTGAATTTTCAATATAACTTCATCCACTTCTTAATTGAAAAATATATATTAATAAAAATACAATGGAATACCTGTAACATAAAAATTAATTCTTCGACATCTTCTTTACCAAATTGGCAATTTTTACTCATTGGTATCGTGGTTAGTTTAATTTTTTTTGTAGTTTCAGCTACAAAAAAATTTAAAAAAAGTATATAAGCATGGTAAAATTGAGGATTGATCCCAATTGGAGAGATATGAGATGTGGCCTATGTAGAATAAGTGAAAGAAATAGGCGTATCTTATATTAAGGAGAAGACGAATGTGGCACTTGAGTGAGGTGCTAAAATGAAGTGTCAAATTGAAATTATGATAAAAATTTTTATGAACAATAGCTATAATTTACTAAGAATTTTATAATCCTCTAGCAGACGCTTTCACAACCATATTATTAACATCAAATGTGCAGCTATCATTCTTAAGAATTTTATTATCATCAACCAGACGCTTAGATAAGCATATTTCCAACATAAAAGGTATCACTGAACAATAACGATCACTGTTATGAATAAAATAACATCACCGGTGGTATTTCACGCCTACGCATTTATTCTTTACTATATAACCGGTTCAATGCTCCGTAACCTGTCACAAACGTTGTTTCGTCTAGTAGCCGATGATGAAATTCTTAGAAAATAATAGCTATTGTTCATAAAAATGTTTATCATTATTTCAATTTGACACCTCATTTTAGCACCTCACACAGTACCACATTCGCCTTCCCCTTAATATAGGTCACGACAATTTCTCACACTCTTTCCACATAGGCCACCCCCTTTCTCCCCTTATTGGGATCAAACTATTGATTTACCCTACTTTATGTTATGAAAAAAATTTTGTGAAAATACAAATTAAACTCAACCTAACCAACATTGATGACTATAATTACAGTTGATCTATTACACATAGACCATAAAATATATAAAGCTCACTATTTTATAATTACTTTTATGTAATTAATACCTGTTGAATTTTCAAAAAATTAATTTAAAATTAACGTTTTTATAAAATGTGATCACTAACTAAATAGTAGCCTGTCATAGTTACCGCACTGTACTTTCAGTCTATGTTAATAAAAAATGTTAACAATATTCATTAATAACATTTAGATTTTAAGATATTAACACTATTCACTTTTTTGAGACTACTCACATTGCCCAGACTACCCCTATTATACTCTTCAACTTATCATAATTGTATATCTATGTCGAAAGTAATCATAGGAATCAATTGATTCCTGGGACTAATTTCATTGTGGTTCAGGATCGGTCGGCGCAGACCTAATTAATTAATGTAAATGCTTTTAATGCTATGTCTTGACTAATACGTTATTTTAATATACTAAATAAAATCTAAGGCTAACTTAAAAAAATAGATGTAAATGATTTTAAAATACTTAACCATTTTCATTAATATCAAAATCAAATCCATTCATTCTAAAAATATTTAAGTTTTCCATTAAAACCATTTCGTTAATGGAAGTAAGATCTAATTGTTGAGGTCTGCAAAAACAAAATAAAAATTCGTAAAAGTATTTTTTGATATAATATTCTAACTATATAAAATCTCCAAAAAAAAATTAGTATAAATATCGTGGAAATAAAAAAACTTAACTGGAACATGTAATGATTTTTTATTTATCATAATCCAATATACATATTTTTGAATTGCTAGTTTGTGTATTTATAAATGTTAACTCACAACATTGTGAAATATTATAAACAAGTAGCGACATCATAAACAAGCAATTAGCTACCTTTATTTAAAATCCCTTGTGCATTGTACATGTATATGAACTCAAACATTTAAAGTAAATGCATGCAACTTTTTTCTTTACATGTATTCATAAAATAAAAAGAAAACCACATGTTTTACATTGTTTCCACTTAAAACTTAATTTTCGTTAAAAATTTTATTTTTGTAAATACAACAAATTTCAGTAAATAAATCATTTTAAAGGCTTTCTAAAAAAATTTTACTTACATCCAACTGCGTATTTTTTTTTCTACATGTCATTTGGATAATTATGTTGAAAAAAATTTTCATGATAAAAATATTCAAACCACATGTAAATAATGATAATTTTTAAGCACCGTAAAATTAGCTATTTTTGGTTTCTTTTTGGTAATTTACTGTCAAATAAGTACATTTTTTTAATATGCTAGATATAAATCATATGAAAACGCATATTTTATGTTCTTTTAACTAATTTATTTAGAAACGTAATATAGATATTTAGAAACTTACCAATAAGATCCTAAACATTTTCTATTATGTTGAGGTTTTGGGAATGAATAAATGGATTGCATAGAAAAGTTGTTTTTCGATAAGGTTTTAGTATTTATTACATATTAAATTTTGAATTGTTTCATATTTGATTGACGAAAACAATGCAAGATTACCAGCATATGTTCCCTTTTTATTTAATAAAATAAATAAGTTGAACAAAAATCACATTAAAACAATTTTTTTTAAATAAATTATTAAAAATAAAAGGTTTTTATATAATAAGGTTACCAATATTGCAAATTTGCAAAAATATGTTTTATTTTATTTTCTAAACTTCTAAACGTAAATGTAAGTAAAAATTAAGTTAAAAATCACACCAGCGCAAAATAAACGGTTTTCTTTTAAGATTATTAATATATCATATAAAAAAAAAAGTTAATGCATTGACTTGATGAATTAAACGTTTACGATTGCGTACAAGCCAAAATCTAAATGCATGAAATATAAAATTTGAAGGTGTTTTATACTTTTGTCTACTACTGTTAGTAATATCCTAAAATTTTGTAAGAAAAGTTCAAAAAAATGCTTATTTTGAAAAAACATTTTTTTTTGTATTATAAACAAAAAAAGAATTTTTTAGCGTAGTCCAAACCTTAAAAGTATTAAAAAAAAGAAATGCAAAATATTCGATGGATTATATAGAGTGTAACAGATTTAACAGACAAATCTTGTTAATCATTAACAATTATCATTTTTTTTAAATAAAAATTTTTTTTTTTGTATTTGTATACTACATTAAAACCATATTTTTTATTACTTTTACGAAGTTATTTTTATTATTTTAATATTTCAAAATACATTTTTTTTGAAAAAAAATATTGATGTGTCGATAAAAATGTTCTGACAAGTGCCCATTAAGTTACAAGAATTTTAAATCATTTAGTGAACATGGAGTGCAGGTAAAGTATGCATTATAAGTGTATACTAGAATGCTTTGTACCCATCAACATATGTGTTCATATGTTAGTATACAATTGCAAAATTTGAAATAAAAAAATTACAATGAAATTATTATTAAAAGAAAAACATAAGATTTTAGTTAGATCGGTTCCACCAGTATATCTATGTGTATAACTTACAAAAAAAGTTTTTGACTAGTTATCTTAGTGTTTAGTTGAAGTATTTCAAAATTATATTTTTCATCTGTAGCATGCTGATCAACAATAAATAAATCTCCATCAAGTTTTGTTATAATAAAACCCAAATTAAATTGTCCAATAATACTCATCTTTAAAAAAATTATAAATGGATTACCATTTTACTAATTAACACAAATTTTCTATGAAATTTTACTTGTTTAAACATATCCTTAGTTATTTCTCTACTTAATTCATTTTCGGCTTGTTGATTTTTACCAGGATCAATTGTAGCAAAAAATTTTGTTTTAATATTTTGATTTTTTTTTTTTTTATTATTGAAATATGTAAAATATTCTTTGATGTTATTAATATTAATTTCAACCGCAAAAATTCTTCTGTGTTTTGAAAAATTTGACTCGTCTATTTCAATTGATTTATTGTGGTTAATGGGTAAATTATTATGAATACTTGCAATAACTGTATTACCAGAGCATTCATTTTTTTTTTTTAAATTCTTATGTTTGATATGACAATCAAAAGTTTGTAAAGTTTTTTCACGTGTTTTTAATTCTTCACTGAGTATAATGTTGAACAAATCACAACTATTGTCACTAGTTACATTTTTCAAGTTAAATGAAGTTATACAGTTATCATGATCATTATTTATATCAATAGATTCATTTATTTTGTCATTATAGGAAATAATTGTATTAGTGTAATTCATTGTATCACTACCACAGATATTTGAATGAAAGATTTTTCTGTCTATTATTTCACTAACACTAGAAGAAACTTCTTGGGTTTGTTTAGATATATTTTTTGTTGCAGTGGAAAAATCTTTGAATTTTTTTAAAATACATTTGGGCTCATTTTCCATTTGTTTAGAACTCTGGCTATTATTTCTTTCTAAATTATCTATTTCAAATGCTGAATCTAACTTAGGTTCTGAAATAATTATCGATATGAAACAATTTAGTATTTTAATAAGTTATATAAAATAAAAGAATATCACTAGAGTTTAAACAACTTTATATATTAATAGATTTAATTATCTAAACTTTTAGGGATATTTCAATACTCCCTTGCACTTCCATAAATATACCACTATTAGCACACATAATTAGGACTAGGAACACAAATGATTTCAGTTTTGAACGCCCCCTATATAAGGGGAAATTGTCCAATTTTAATAAAAAGTATGTCAAATGAAAAATGTACTTATAATGTATTTAGAAAAAAAAATTTATGCTGATATATACATTTTTCAAAAAGTTATAGCATTTTTAAGTTGAAAATTTAAAATCCAAAATCGAAAATTTTAACACAAAAATAGTGTTTTTTTAACTACGGCAGCCGTTTAAATGTTGAAGAAAAAGTGTCGGGACAAATTTTTTTTTTCATTTTATAGTACATAAAATAAGCTTTAATTTGATATATGTTTGAAGGACGCAGTATTTCCGGAACATTTTCAAAAATTAAGTTGAAAAAGTTAATTTTTGTCAAAAAGTTGCCATTTTAAATCCCCCCCAATGAGCAGGTTAAGCGATAGATTTTCAAAAAAATGATATCAAATGAAAGGTAGATATCTAAGGTTTTAGTATAAAAAAAAATTATGTTGATTTGTTAATTTTTCAAAAAGTTATGGAAGTTTTAAGAAAAAAAAGTGAAAAAATTTCGAAAATTAGCGATTTTTAAATTTGTAATTTTTTTGGATATTTCCCCCATTTGCGGGGAACGAGGGAATTTTTTTCAATTTTTAAGGGTAATGTCTTCAACTAGATACGATTTGTAAGGTTTCAAAAGATAAGATATCAGAACAAATATAAAAATAAATACTAGATATAAAAAAATTGCCAAAATTCGAAAATAGTTTGTTTCCTATCCCAAAACATAACAACTACAATTTTTTTATAAAATATTTATAATGACAAGTGTATGATCAGTTGGTTTCGACATGAAAAAATAAAATTATCCAACATTTAACTGTTGAAATAACAGAAGGCTAAATAGCAAAATTAGAAGATTTAAATTTTGTTCCCATTAGTTTAAAAATATTTTTAAACATATTTAAAATATTATAACTCATAAAATCATTTAAAAAAATTAAATCAGAGATTAAAAAAAAAATATTAAAAACTATTTTTTCAAAATACTCTTTTTATATTAAAAGAATTATTAAAAGCTTTAACTATTCATATAAACTAACACTCATAAATATAAGCAAAAATAGTAAAACAAATGATGGTACCAAGTTTAATTAATCAAATGATATGATTAATTATTCAATTCAGATTATTAACTCAAATAATTTTAACCAAATTAAACAAATTTCCTAACTATAGTCAATTCAGAAAAACCAAATGGAACATCAGAATTTGAAGCTCGGTACTACTACTAGATATCCACAAATGAGTGACTAAATCTTGGTCCACACAAAGATAGTAGAATAATAAAACAAATATAACTCTATAAAATTGCTGATACTTTCATGATAAATTAACAGTTAATATCACTTCATTTGCATGGTAATAGTTCTCAATAGTAACTATTAACAAGTAGATTTAGTTTAAGATGTATAATCTTAAAGGAAAATGTGTTTATTCGTAAGACACAAATTGATTATTACATTGTAAAGCAATTCTTATAAATATTATCAGATTAAAAATATATAAACCTATTTTAGCTTCGATGCGAAGCTGAGAAGGTATTAATTTTACTATGATGTGTTTCTTTCTTTTTTTTTTTTTTTATGTCTGTTGCCACTTTTTCTCAGCTCTCACTGGACCGATTTCTTTCAAAAATACGTCAAAAGATCACAAATCGTATCTAGTTGAAGACATTACCCTTAAAAATTGAAAAAAATTCCCTCGTTCCCCGCAAATGGGGGAAATATCCAAAAAAATTACAAATTTA